ATTTTGACTTTATAGACAGCATTTATTATTATACAAAGCCATTTTCTGCTTAAAATGTTGATTTCCCTGCTCTGGAAATGAGCTAAGGGGTTTGCAGTTGCAGTAGGTGACATTTATCATTTTCTTTGTCAAATTCAGTTATTCCTCACCTATAACTTCCAGTAGGATTCATCAGTCATGTCCACAGAGAGGTATTAGTCAGGTTCCAGCCCTGGCAGTTATGGAAAGGTCAGGAGATTTGTCTCTTCCTCAAGTGTATTTTCTCTTCTCTGGTTTCTGAGGAACAGTGAGCTGTGATGTTAACGCCGGGCCACAGCCTACACTCCATCACGGCAGACATCTCAATCCGTTTCCACTGTTAGCCTTTTATACCACGTTTACAGCAACACAGGTTTTCAATACTGATCGGTCACTGCTCCTTTCCCCTTCATTCATCACTACCTCCTTCCTGCTGTTTCTGTTTTCCTCCTCATCCTTTCCTCTTTTACAGTCGCCTGCCATCACTCCCTGCTTTTGTACACATCGCCCCGCAATGCTTCTTCCTCTCTCCAGTAGCAGACCAGTCCATCTATCTCTGCCTCTGTTTTTACTCTCACCTGTTTTAGCCTTCCCTCCTCATTTCCTCCCCCACCCTGTCTCGTTCTCATCATTTGTTGAAGGGCTGAGTGCAGCCGGATGCTGGTAATCTGGTGCCCTGATTGCACAGGACATGCATGAATGATACCAAACCTTGTTCTTAATATCCACTCGCTTTGAGTCATGACTTTAATCATTACAAATGGAGGGTGATGAATACTTGGGACTGGTTGAGTATTTCATGGATTGCACTGTGGTAGAATGACAGGGGCTTTCAGAAGGAAATTGGATTTCCTTGTTTTTTTATGTGGTGACTACAAGGTTTGTTTAATGAAAGACGGCTGGTCAGTGCATTGTTTGGCAGAATACCCCCATACATACTGCAACCTTTCAGATGATACCATAGTCAGTAAAGGAGCAAGAGGCACAGCTATTAGAAATTGCAATTTGGTGAAGCTTTCAAACGCCGCAGTAGCCAAAACACATGCTGATCTCTCAGCTTTTGTGGGAAGCTGTGCTCGGGAGTCAGGGGCGTTACATGGCTGAGCAATCTGCATACCTACAGTGGGATGGGGTGTATTTTATCCACCTTAATGAAAAGAAACTAGTGAATTGGCTTGGACAAAATAAAGCTAATATTAAGGTCCATTTACATGCCTTACTTTTCAATTTCAGACATGAACTTTCAAGGTTGGACGTTCAGTTTTATCTTTTTTCTTTTGTTTATTTGGCAAGGGTTAATATTGACTGGGCAAAGCAAAGCAGGGACAGATCGTGTCCTGTTTGTGTGTGTGAAGGCCAAAACATCAAGATGCCTCCTGTTGCATATTCCAAAGCTTGAACTACCTTTATTGAAAAGGATGTGAAAAAGTGACTGAATTAATTGGTGCAGACAGACCAGGCTACATGTGATAGACTCACTGACCTCAGGGGAGGGAGAGGTTTGTTCATCATGAAAGGTTCAAGAGAAGACGTTGGTTGGTGAGCAATGAACAGATGATAGAACTAAGGTCACTACAATTCCAGTCAATCCATTTATTGTGCTGACTGTTTTTTTTTATTAAATAATAATTAGATAAAGCACAAGACTCTGATATTGCATATTGAAGAGAATAGAGGAGTCTGTCTTTGGTAAGACATCATGTTCAGGATTTTGAATGATGCCCTGCTCCTGAAACAGGTGGTGTGGCATAAAATACTTCCTATATTATGGGTGAGTGTTCTGAATACAGACGCTGCAATCTTTTCCATATGATATGACTTTTAACTTACCAAGTCGATAGGAGCCGACTGTATGCATTCCGAACCTGTCTATAGGTAACCAAGGCATTTAGAGTAGATCAGTTCATTTATTTATTAGAAAAAGGCAAGGCTAGTTAGTTGCTACAATGTTAAAAAGTGTGAAACAACATGAAATCACAAAAGTTTGCCAAATGTTTGTTCCAGCTTTCTGTAAACGAGACAGCACCTCTTGTTTTTTTAATTCACTCCTGCTGTTCCCTTTCTTGTTTCTGCTGGTTTCATCTTGTCACTTCCTGTATTGCTGAGCCATAAAGGCAACTTAACAGACTTTGTAAAACTGCAGTCTATATGTTTGCCTAAACTCTTACATGACTGCATGCAAAACAACAAATAAAGCTGTTGTTTCCCTGTCTGTGGCTTTCGCATCAAATGTGCTGTGCAGTTTATCAGAGATTAGCATCTTGATATTCTCTCTCTCCGCTGTCTTTACCGTTCAGATTCCTCCTCCCTCAATACGCTTCTGCTTAGTGATTAGAGGCTTAAAATATACTATTGTGTGAACTTTACTCATTTTACAGCTCCCTAAACAGAATCACTCAAACGTATAGGTGATTAAAACGAGACTGACAGATGTGCAATGAAGTCTGTGGAAAATGTGTGAGAGCTCCTGCTTTCCATTAGTTTATTTAGATTTCTTTGATCTGATATATGCTATTTAAAGACTTCACTCTATTTAAATATACTCTTTTTGTTGGTGGCCCTGAGCACTGGAGTGTGTATTTATTTATCGCCTCCCTCCACCCAATATGCACACACACCTGCAAATACACATACACACACGCACACACACACACTTGCGCAGGCTGAAAGTTCATTTCCATCTTGTGTAACACTGGAAGCCTTTCAAAATCATATGCATTTATTTTTAATTAACTTAGGTGTTTTGATGCAGAATATTTTATATTCTCCTGGGACAGTGAAGAGTTCAATGTTTAATTAATTTATCATCACTCAGCCTTGAGACTGGTTGTCTTCACATTGTTTCTACCTGACCCAAACTTCTCTGAATGTTTTACTTTTCTATTTGGAAGTCTCTCCAAGGTCCTCGGAATATTACCTTTTACTTCACAATAAGTGGTTGTGTTTGTAGAAAATACACTGAATTGGCCTGGTTTGTTCACAATTATGTTTTTAAGATGGCATGATTGTTCAGTAACAATTCAACCACCGTCACACAAGCAGGGGGAAAAGGAAAAAAGTCTGGATTCTGCACTGAGTTGTGTGTAGTTTTAAACCAGGCATTCATTAAATCATGTTGTTAAGAAATGTCTGTACTATTATGTAAATTGGTTGCTAGGAAACATATTTAGCACCATCGAATCAAAAGTGATCAACTATGTCAACAGAAACTGTAGCAACACAAGCTGCCACATAACAAAATACAAGGTACAATGTAGATTTATTTAACATTTTACACCAGGGTTGTATAATGGGATTAGATTGGAGTTCCTTTTATGCTACTCACAGGAGAGGCAGAGACAGAGATGCCCTTCCTCCTACAATGTAAACATTCAATGAAATAAGGACGTGGTCATGGTCATCTCACATCTTCACGCTGGTAAAGAAAGCCCAGAAACAGCTGTAATTCTTAAGGAAACTTAAGAAGGCAAAATTCCCGTGCCAAGTTCTTATTAATTTTTACAGAGGAGCAACAGAAATCATCCAGACTGAAAACATTACTAACTGTCATGGGAGGTGCACGGCTTAACAAGTTAAACTCTGTAATTTCAGATTTTAAAGAGCTGAATGACCTTCACAAGTTGTTACTACAACAGCAACCTGTTAATTAGGACAGAGTAGTAGCAATGGTTACCATCACCAGCTACACCTTCTCATCCAAATATGGTCACTTCTGGTTCCAAAATACAAAGCCATCAAGGCTTCAAAATGGTAGGCCACAAACCAATGGGTGACGTCACAATGGCTACGTTCACTTGTTTTATACAGTCTATGCATCTACAGTATGTACAAACAATTTTGTGCGGTGCAACCCTTTTTGAATTAGGGGTAAGTAAATGTCCACTTGGTAAAGCTAAGGTTGAGCTCAGCAGCTGCAACTGTCTCCTGTTTTCCAAATTAGTGTTTGATGCTACGGCTTGGAGGTATGAATATCACAATATGGATACAAATATTTGACGATGATTTGATTTTTGAGATTGATTTTCTATGCAATTTCAATTGTGCTCCATTGGAATACAATAACTTTCAACAATTTGTATTCTTAGTTTAAAATATTGATCAAAATCATTGATTCTTTGACAACAGAATAAAATATAAAATATCAAATCATCACAATATGAGTCCAGTAATAACACTGAATTATGTCCCAGCCCTATATTTGCTGCCCATGGTTTGTATATACAGTATAAATTATACAAAAGTGCTTTAATTAATAAAAGGGTCCAAGATAAAACACACACAAATGCGACATAATGAATTCAATACATTTAATTGTTAATTGCACATTTGCTTAAGTGCATCATACTCAATGTAAAGCTTTAAAAAATACAATCTCAGTCATCTCTGATGTGATTCTGAGTGCTTTTACGTAGATTTTTTTTTTTTTTAAATAAGACAGTATATGACAGATAAACCTTCTCTTCTTTAGAGTTGTTTGATAAAGCTGTAAAGTAAACACTGAGAAACAGGGCAGCATAACTGGTCAACATCAAAGATACTTTCATTCATATTTAGGTAGTTTAACTTCTGACTTAAAGAGGTCATATTATGCTCATTTTCAGGTTCAAAATCTTATTTAGGGGTTGTACCAGAACAGATTTACACGTTTTCACTTTCAAATGCACATTGTTGCAGCTCCTCTTTTCACCCTGTGTGTTGAACGCTTCATTTTAGCTATGGAGTGAGGCATCTTATCTCTGCATGATCTTTGTTGGGAGTTGCGTAGTTCCTGGTTAAGGACTACTAGCCAACCAGAATCAGAGTAGGGCGGGTTTTGAGAAGCCGGTAAACATGGCTTCAGTTCAGCTGTATATCCCCTTGCCAGCTTACCAACATAGACTGGAGCAAGAGTTTCAGAGTGATGAGTTATTAATTTGTTTCATCCATAAAGTTATAACTGAGCTCTGTCTCTACATCACAGTAACAACTTTATGTCCATTGGTAGCTAATGTTTGGAAGGGAGAGGAGAGGCAGCAGATGGATGTCTTGTCACTGTGTGCTGCCACACAGTGTTTTTCCACTGGTGTTTTTGAGGACGTGTCGGACTAGTCGCTAGGCGAGCATTATGATACGGATTTTGCTGTAAAGTCACGGGGATCAAAGGACAAAGGCCTTTTGGCTTTTTCACTTTGCAAACCTATTACATGCACAAAAACGATATATAACTCAATAAAGGAGAGGGGAAAAGCCAAAAAGCATAATATGACCTCTTTAATACATGTGCATTTCCCTTTGTCTGTGTAAACACAATTTTGTCTTTTTTTGATTTGTAAAGTGACATACTATACTACCCTTAAGAGGAGAGCCCTCACATTAACGGTAGCATGAATTACCACCTTTCTGTTGGCACCTGAATTATCATAAACACCACTCTTGAGCAGCAGCACTTTTGTGCATGCTTCAAATCACAGACTTGCATCATATCTCTTTTAGAAATAGCTCAACAGTTTTACAATACTTAACGTTTTTTCTCAAATTAAAAAAATAGTTTGGATCATCGACTGTACACAATACCAAAAACAATGTGCTTATCCCCATATAGTGTATAGTGCTGAGTTCAACATGCCTTCCATTGGCTGTAGTTACAGTGCGCCCATCTCCCTTCTTTGAGGCGGGTGGTCTTCACAGGATGCGTCAAGGAGGCCTCTCTCCGTGAAACTTTCGGTGTCTGTACCTGCCGTTCTTTTCCTTGGCCATGTTGATGCAGGCGTTGTGCTTGTTGCTCTGCAGGTGGTTCCAGTACTTGATGAGTTCGTTGGGGTGGAACTGATGGGATGTTATCAGGTGGCTGTACTTACAACTGGAGTAAGACACCCGCCAATGGTTGAAGAGGAACTCATTGGGAGGGGGTGCCGGGTCAATGCGCAGCTTCGCCAGGCAGATCCCCACATAAACATCCTCCAGGTGCAGCCTGCGTATGCTGAGAGAGGCCTGGTAGATGAGCTCGGCCATGTCCCCTGAGAACACGTACCCTGTGCCGGAGCAGAATATCGGGTAGCGCTCGCTCGGGTACAGCTCTGGCGGCATGTACCACTTACTGTCCTTGTTCCGGTTTGGTGCATAACCCCTCATCAGGTAGCCAGTGAAGTACCTCTGCCTGGGAGGCAACTCAGGCTTCAGCAGCTTTTGGATGAGATACTCAGTATTGACAAACATGTCGCTGTCTGTCTTCATAACATAGGAGGCGTGGGGGCAATAGCTGGCCACCCAGTTCATGCCCATCAGGGTTTTGATGGTAAGGTTGTAGTATGTGTCCTGATAGTCCTGTTGGATGATGTCGTGGTAAACACGGCTCTCTTCTTCTATGCTGCTCTGGAGGAAAGTGTCTGAGGTCTTTCCTGTGCCAAGCAGGAAAAGACGGACAAACCCTAGGCCCATTGCTATGCTCTCATTCCCCCATGTCTGGCGGATGGCGATGCGAGCATCGGCCTGGCCGGGTTCCGCAGCGATGAGGAGGACGAGGAAGGGCATGCTGTCCCTGCACTTAAAAGGCTCATTCAGGATGTAGCGGTAGGGCTGAGCGCTGAGCCTCCCTCCCACACCCATCTCCTTCTGTAAACTGTTGTTAGTGCTCATTGAGTCCCCAAGCCCCATTACACCCATCCTGGCTCCTGCCCCTCCCCCTCCTCCCGCAGCCTCCCCCGCTGCTCCATCCGCTTGCTGAGAGCTAAGGTTGAGCAGAGGCTTTGGCGCTACATACCCTGTCTCCTTCCACAGGCTCCTCAGGGAATTGCTCTGGTTGGCTTCTCCCTTGGGGCTGCGGAAGCCCCTGACGGTGTAGGCCAGCGGGTTTTCCCGGGGTCCACTACGTCCCGGCAGCCAGTCCTGGTGACTGAAAAATAAGAAGAGGGTGAAGAGCAGAGCCAGAGAGAGGAGGCCAGCCACATGGGCACGGAAGAGCGAACGCTTGACGGTCCAGGTCATCTTGATGGGACAACAGTGCCGCCGTCTCCACTGCATGGTGCAGATCGGGGTCGCAGGAGGCTGCTGCTGCTGCTCGAGAATGGGCGGCGGCGGCGGTCACATAAAATCACCTCAAACATGTGGTTGCCAACAGTCAGTCGGGTTATCTGAGCTGGCAGACGGATTGGAGTGGGCCTCCCAGTGGAGTCAGGGGAACGTTTGAGCCCCCCAGTGCAGCTTGGAGCAGGTCTAAAAGGGCTCCTGACGGAGCTAGGAAGGCGTTGATTCTCTGGCCATGGAGGCTTCTCCCTGGATCATCTTTGGCACTGTAGACAAACACAAGATCATGCAATGTGCCTCGTCTCCTTCAGGATATGATAAGGGTTACCTCCTCTGTGTTTGCTCTCTCTAATCTGAAAAGAGAAAAAAGAAACAGAGAAACAGTCTTAGCAGCGGTCCAAAAAGCACCTCCTATTCACTGGCACTGAACCACATGTCAATTGTTTGAATTGCAGATGTGTTTTTATTCTACTTGTGGGGACAACTGAGCTTATTTCTTAATCATTTTATTAATGGTTTGTTTTGACACACTGTAATTCTGAATAAATTTCTTCCAGATGCAAAAGCCCCAATTAGAGCTTTCTGTGGAGGCAGTGCCCACTGTGGTAAATGGCACTTTTGGTGAGCTGACTTTACATTTTGAAAGGGAGAGGCTGAATCAATATGACAGTGGTATAGCGTCTTTGATTGGACAGGGGCGTAGAACACAGCAAGCCCTGGGGATGTGGTTTTCTGAGGAAAGAAAATGGGAGATTTAGAGAATAATGTTGCCAGCAGGTCAGTGGCAGAAGGGATTGCTGCGCGAAAAAAAATTACTGTGCATACAGTGCATCTGTGTGCTTAAAAAAAGCCACTTCCGGATGTGTTCCTAGTTGCTGAGATACAGCAGAACACATCAATCTCATAATAAACACAACTGATTAGATAAGCACATTTTCTTATTACTTTACACAATGACAGAAAATAAGAACATTTCCTAGATCATCACAAACTCATCTTACAGTTTACACCATCTAAAAATTGTGAAGATTAGAAAATACGTTCATCATGGACACTATGAGCTGATTAGCTGGCTGTCTGATGCTGGGAATGGTGAGATGGTGTTTGCTCTTGCATGTCATTATTAAGTTATTATTCAGTTAATGCCTCAGGCAGTAGTATAAATTGCAGGTTTGCTCAACGTGGTGCCAGCTAACGCTACTCTCAGCCGCTTGGGCGAGTGAGTGTCATCAGCCCCCCATCGCGCCTCGACAGCTAGGGAGGAGATGCATCTGTCAAAATGAGTTTTCAGGGTCCAGCAGGCAGTGGTGCCGAAGCCCGAGCCAGCCTCTGGCGATAACAGCTTTCACCCGCCATTCACCTTCCACCTTCAGCTTATCAGTGTTGCCTAGTGTCTAGATGAGAACACCCAGGCTGCTCGATCGTCTCCCACAAACAGGCATAAATGTAGGACATAAAAGGAATGCAAATGAATAAACAAGTGCACACAAACAGGCAAAATGTGTCGTGAATGATTGCATCTGTTGCCCTCAGGGAGTTGTGCACCAAGGGAGACCAAGGCGATCACGTATGAACACACTGATTCTCTAACTCACCAAAGCAAACAATTTGTGCACACTAGCATTACTAGCATATGCACACCTAATACTGCACACTTAATCATTTTTTTGTGCTCTCAGACCCACTGACACAAAATGTAACTCAGACCAGACTTAATGATGACAAAACAAACATACTATCACTCTTGTCTATACACTTGCACAAAAGATGCATGTGCACATCCCATATATCCACACTCGACACATACATCTTCATGCTATGCATGCTAACTTACACACACACACACACACACACACACCAGAGCAAACAGAATATGTCAGCAGAGACTTGCAGGTTGTACTAGACTCTAGTGAATATTAATGTAGCAGCAGTGCAAGTCTTGAATCCATCCATCCTGACTGTGTTAATTTACTGACTGCCTGCGTCGTCCTATATTTTATTTGTTTGCCTTTTTAATAATTTGCGAATACCAAACAACAGAGCATAATTTTGTGCAAATGCTACATGCCGGTTTAGTGTGAGGCAAATTTTCTAAACTTCCAATTTTCATTTCCTGCTATGTTTGCTCATTCATCATGACAACTGCCAAGGAACACGATAACCTTTTCAGGGGAGTGTGCTTACCCAGCGCAAGCAATTACAGGAGAATGAGAGGGACCAGGGCCGGCTTTGTTTTAAAGGTTAACATACTTTACATCAAAGCATATCCAGCGCTTGAGAAATTTCTGCTGTCAAGTAAATGAACATCTAGTTACATGAGCTCTGATGAAGTGTGCACACACAGATGGGCACATAACACACATAAATACACATCTACACAGAGATACACACATAATGGATGCCCACACACGCCCACATCAACCCACCCACACACTCAACATACAGATGACCCTGCGTGGTTGAGTGTATGACTTACTTTTTAGTTTTTTACGCAAATGCCAATTTCACTGGGAGATCAAATGTCCATTTTTACTTTTCAGCGGTTGCATTTAATCTGCCAATGCCTCTCCTCATTAATTAATTTTCTTGCCTACCATCAATGTCACTTCTTTGCAAGCCAATTAGTTACACTAGCACAAATTAAAGCCCCAGCGATTCTGCAGTGGTCAATAATCAGAAGGAAGGCTAGGGGAGTGACAGAGTGACATACTAGGCATACATTATAGTATTGTCCCTGTCACCACTTCAGCTTCAAACCTAGAGTTAATAAATAGAATAAAGACAAAATACTTTATGCCATTCTCCACAGTTTGCTTTCTTTATTTCCATGCCTACATAAAAAGCCTTGCTGATGTCGATGAGGATATGACCTTCATTCAGTATAACAGTGCACTTTGTGATAGTGGAAGATTTTCCTCCAGAAAAATACAGTTCCCATTTGTGGGCTTTTTAAAAAGGCTGTCTACTGAAGTTAGAGGTTAAATTTAGTTTTCTTGAAACAGGCCTCACTGATAATGTGGCTGAGTGATGTTTCTCTTCTGTCTAATAACACTGCCTTGAAGCAACAATCCTCATTCAACCACTACATATGATTTATTTTAATGTTGTGGCTCATGGTCATCATCAAGGTGAAGAAAAGAGTGGATACTTCCCTGACAAAGGCCATTTGAAAAAATACTACTTTAAAAAAAAAAGCATGATTGTTGTGGCTGAACCATGTTGTGGACCATCCAAACCCAAGGTTGCAACTAACGGTTATCTTAATGATCAATTACCCTGCCAAATAGCCTATGTATAAAATCCCCATTATAATTTCCCACAGTCTAAAATCACATATTCAGATTGCTTGTTTTGTCCAACTAAAAGTCTAAAACCATAAGATAGTCAGTTTACTATCATATGTGACAAAGACAGCAAATCCTCACATTTTAGAGGATGGAAGCAAGAAATTCTTGAAAAGATGATCAATTAATCGTTTCAGCTCTAATCAAGAAAGCACTATAAGAATAAACTGAACTGGTTGAATAAAGTACTCCAGAACATTAGGTAACTAACTAAGTGCATTAACTCAAGTATTACATACATGTATTTTATATACATGTTCTAGATACTTTATTTTAGTATTACCATTTTATGGTACCATACTTCACTACCATTTCAGATTGTACCTTTTACTCTAATACATTTATTACACTGTTTTATTTAGTAGTTTATACTACTTTAGTAGTTCAGTTTAGTAGTTCATATAATGTGTTTTAATGACAAAGATCTTAATAAATGACAAAGAACTTAATATCAACATTAAAATTGCTATAGAATATGCTACCTTACAGTATTTAAAGTAGTGCCATCTTGACTAACTACAAGAGTTAATGGCTACTTAATACATTAGTAACAATAATCCAATTTTACAATATATAATAATATAACACTGATTGTATTGCATACTGAGTATATACCCGATATTGAGTATACTTTTGATACTTCATATAGATTTCTCTGATAGGCCTATTTTTTAGTTTTATTTATAGAGTTTTATTTGCAATGGAGTATTTTTACGTTGGTATTTCAACCTCTAAATAAGAGGATCTGAATACTTCTTTTGCCACAGTTTTTTTCATAATCTAAGCCCATATTATAATATATATTATAATATAATAGCCAAATATTGAAGTAGTGTTTGTATTCTCAGCTTTAGCAGCACATCTGAAGTCATATCTAAAAGATATATAGTTCCTGATTTCACAAAATGATGCAGCCTGCAGCTATGGACTTTTATTTCATCTTCGTTCTCTACTTACCAATGTTTTCAATTATGATGGAGGAAGGTAGGAATGTCAATGTCATCCAACATCCAAATGTTTTCTAGGAAATGAAAACTAGGCTATTCCTGTTCTATTTTGCCATAATTTTATAGCAAACCCTGGAGTGTTGCACTCCAAGAAGGCTTCACAAACCCCAAATCGGTCATGCCGTTTGTCTACTCTCAGTTTCCATTGTTAGTGTTCCAGTTGGGAGCCAAAAACCAAATCAGTCTTTAATATATAATATTAATATCTTTACAACAACTTTATCATTGCTCTCTATGTGAGACCTCTCTTCCCATTCCTTTCTTACTGTATTGCTTATGTTGGCAAGAAACATCTGAACTAGTTTTACTGTCATGTGGCTTGGTCTACACAGTAATGACTTTTAAGAATTTAATATATGATTTTTGGTCGAGGTCATGCTGGGCTCATCTTAGCCCAAGAATCTTCCAGGGAATGCAGTCTCAGGCTGGCTTTGTTCAGAGCAGTCACTTCAAAGTAAGGAGGCTGCTGGTGAGTCCACACCTCTCCCCTCTGTGCTGCTGCGGGCTCATCTTAATCACTCCCCCAATTCTGGTCACTTTCCTGCTCCTGCTTAGCTGCACTCTTCCTCAACAATCTGTATTATTCTAATTATTATTATTATTATTATTATATCTTGAGCAAATTCCAAGATTTCATAAAAGTTATATTTATAAGTAAGTGGTTCCCAACTTTTTCTCTCAAACATATCCCCTCAGCCCTATCGGATGAACTACCCTAACTATTCATCTGTTATGTTGAGCTGTCTATAACTGTTTATGACTTTTAGCATAGACCATTTATCCACTTCTTTAAGGTAACTGCTACCTTCTCTGATTGTTTCCTATTTAGTTTTCAAGCACACTCAAACGCAACACGTGGGGTACTCAGGTTTTACAGATGACTCAAAATGTGGACATACAATAAATCAAATTGTAATTGTTGTTTTATCAAATTAGTGGAGCTACTCACAGTCTTTTCACATACCTGCTTTGTAACTGCAGAAGTAGGCAGCACTGGTTGGA